CACATGATGTATCAGGCGAGGACAAAAGCTAAGGAGAAAGGGCAGGGTAAGGGCACTGAGAGTCAATGGGAAGACTGATTTGAGAGAGAGAGTTGTTGTTCCATTTATTTGTGCATTCATTGGTTGCTTCTTATATATATCCTGACTAAGGATTGAACCCACAACCTTGGTGTATTGGGACAAGGCTCTAAGCAACTGAGCTACCCGGCCAGGGCCAGCAGGCTCTTTTCTCTTTGGCACTCCAGGAGAGTTTCTCTGAGAAGGCGGCACTTGAGCAGAGACTTAAGTGAAATGAGGGAGTAAAACTTAGGACGATCCAGAAAGAATTACAGAACCTACCTGGGAGAGTTATTGGTAGGATGAAACGAGGTAAGGATATAAAATCCAGCACGTGGCATATAGCAAGCATTCCATAAACGTGGTTATTACCATAATTATTATTAGCAGCTGTAAGCAATTTCGGATAAAATACATTCGAACTTGAGCTCATTACATCCCCTTCACTTGGGGGGAGGTTATGACACATCACAGCTTGGGGGCTCACACCTTACTCTGCACTTATAACTGATTAAAGCAAATTTCAGCCTGGCCCAGGTTCCCAAGGCCCCGGCAGTCAGCCATAACGAAGGAAATCATAACTCCCGGCTCAGCGCGCCAAGTGCGTTCCCCGCCACCCAGCTCCCATCCCAGGCTGACCCAATTACTTGAACTCTGAGCTTCCTCGCCTAGAGAGAGCTCCGAGGGCTTCTTACTCCTGGGTAAGGGAGCTGGAGAAAGAAGGGGATCTTGCTATGTGCATCTACATAAGACCTCAAGGCCTCTGTTTGTCCATGAAGCTGTCAGGGATCCGGAAAGTCAAGGTGGGGGGGGGGGGGCGTGAGGAGAGGGAGAGGGAGAAAGGAAGAGACACCCTCACCTGGAATAATAATGGCACTAATTCTTAAGAAAACTATTGCAGCCCTAACTGTTTGGCTCAGTGGATAGAGCGTTGCCTTGCAGACTCAAGGGTTCCAGGTTCGATTCTGGTCAAGGGCATGTACCTCAGTTGCAGGCACATACCCAGCAGAGCGTGTGCAGGAGGCAGCTTATCAATGTTTCTCTCTCATCAATGTTTGTAACTCTCTATCCCCCTTCCTTCCTCTCTGTAAAAAATCAATAAAATATATTTAAAAAAAAGAAAAAGAAAAAAAAAGAAAACCATTCCAGGCCGGATGTATGTCCAAGCTGAAGAGCCAGAGCTCTTGACTTTTAGCCCCAGCCCTAGAGTAACCAGTTGACGGCCACTGGGCAAGTCACGGCCTCTCTGACTCTGCGTCGTGTTTAAGGGCTCAGGTCCCAGACCCACGTCAATCAGGGTTTTATTCTTAACCCTGCATGACCTGGACATGCTATTGAACTCCTTTGAGCCTCACTTTGCAATGGGCATTTTAACAGTGAACTACATGTCATGGGGTAGCTAACATAAACAGTGTGTCCAGCATGGTGCAGGGAATATAGTAAATGCTCAATAAACACTAGATGTCGGCATGTTCACCTGCCAAATACCTGTCCTGCCCTTCTCAGCAGCTGTTCAAAAGCTGAATTAGGGATGAGGTAAGAAAACACTTTGTGATATAAAAGGCACTTTATAGCTGTAAGGTGTAATTGTTAAATTATCATGATTATTGCTTGAATATTATGAAACTGAGCAGGAGATAATGTTTTCATAGAAGCACTTCTCATAGTCTCTGGGTCACAAGGGATTGGGTTTGAAAGGCCACCTTTCAGGAAGAAAAAAAAAAAAAGGGGGGGGGGGGGAAACGGAAAAACAGCCATATTTTTGCTTTGAAAAGCTGAGCCTCTCAGCACTGAAACAGAGCAGGTTCATTACTCAGTGAGGATTAATTAGCTGTCGGGTATTATTAAACGTTCTCACTCTCAAGATCCACACAGAACTGGAAACTCTGAAAGGGAGCGAGAGGCAGTCACAGCACAGGGGGGAGATGGGCGGGGGGGGGGGGGAAGCCACAGTTGCTGGCAATGCACATTTCAATGCCGAGCATGTTAGTAAATCATAGTCTGATTAATATCACGTCAGCCCATTCGCTGTTTGGAGTCATTGTTCGGAACCTACAGTCCGCAGGTAGCCTGGCTTTCTCTTCCTCTACCACTGGGATCAAGAAGGAAAGGAGGCTGTTTTAGTCAGTATTCGCCCGGAAAGGATGCTGGGGTGTGGACATTTACCCTGAGAAATGGGGTATTTGAAAGCCTAGGAAGGCAGAGGAGGTGAAATCAGATGCAAATATTTACAATTTTATAGCAAAGGTGTCTCCCAAACTGGTGCAAGAACTGTTGAAATGGTTGGAGAGTAACAGAGGCTCAAAAAAATCAACTGCTGGAAGGAGGCTGGGCGACCAGAGAGCCCAGTGACAACCACCACCTTCAGGGGCTTGTTGCCACCCTCAGGGGCTCATATCCAACATGCAGACTCCTCAGACCGCCCCACTGGCTGAAGAGAATGCCTGGGGCTGGGTCCTGGGAACCCATGTTTGTAACCAATACTGTGGTGGCAGAAACGCTGACTTTGTCTGATCCTCTGCCACTTAGAAAGTAAGCTTGGAGAGAGCACATGTGAGTCGTTGGCTCAGGATCACCCAGCTGGTTAATACGGAAGCAAGAACCAGACCTGGGATTTTCTAACTCAGCCCCACCTCGGGCCTCCTTCCTTGTAGAATGCATACAAGTCCACTTCCCAACCTCACTGTCTCACTCTGGGGACAATCTCTGCTCTCGTGGAAACTCACATATAGACCTTCTTTCCTCTCTATCATGGGATGGCGTTTCCAGGGCAAAGGACAGGTATAGAAAACCCCATAGGATGCCAGGGACAGCAGGCATTCATAGTGTGGACTACGTCTGAGAAATCCCCTCCTTGTAGCAAGCAAGAGCAAGGGAACACGTGGGCAGAAGTTCACGTTGTAAATTTCCCAGTGGCACCTACTCCATCGGTTTCTCTATAGGATAGGCAGGTCCTAGGGGCTGGAAGACCATCTTATATCTTATTCCTTTTGTATCACTTGCATAGTGCTTTCTGCTTAGCAGACATCAGTGAACAGTTTGTAAATATACCAATATAAAAAAAGTGCGACAGGAAAAATGAGTATGCATTTTACTCAGAGGCAGAGGCCTGCTCACAGCGGGGAGTAATAAGAGCCACACTAATGATGAGAGTGATGCAGAGTAACAGCAGGGAGCTGACTTTCTGTGAGATGAGGCATGGGCTAAGTTCTTTATCACATGCAACGCAGCACCGAATCCTCCCAGCTGTCCCAGGAAGTAGTGACCACCTTGTGCAGACGCGACATCAGAGGCCCAAGGCGTTTAGGTACCATGATCAAGGTCATTAGACAGAGATCAATGGAACCACAGTTCCAAGCCAGCACAGACGGACTTAACCTTCATATTCCTCTTGCTCCACCCTCCAGTCTCCCAGCCCCGAGCACTTAAGAGTATTGGCCTGGTCTGGTGGGATGGGCTCGCAGGCAGCCCTCCAGGCTGAACACTCTGGCTGACAAGAGCGGGCAGAGCAGCCAACGCAAGTGAAGACCAGGCACTCATCAGTAAGCACTAAGTCAACGGAGTCTGTGCTCAAGCAGCGCCCACTCAATATACAGATGAACAAACGAACGAATGAATAAACGAGCGAGCGAATCAGACACACAACCATCGTTCACCTCCCATCTCTGCTTCTAAACCTGGGGTGACAGCCTCTCTTCCCCAGATGTGCTCCGCCGTCTCTGTTCTCGCTGCCGGCCTGCAGCGGAGCAGCCGCTGGCTGGAAGCACGTATTTCACACGGTTGGAAAAGACCCCTGGGGCCAGAGCCGGCCCTGACATGTGCTCGCTTTACCGCTCACACCAGACTCATCTAAAGCTAAACTCATGACTCAGGCTTGAACCAATTTAACCCAGATCGGGAGAGCCTTCCCTTAAAAGTCCACTTTTAGAAATCTATTTTTAACACCGCTTCCCCAGGCACCCTTTCCCGGTCTCCCAGAACCAATGTGATTTCCCCCTCCTCTGATCCAACGGCAGCTCCCTCCGACTCACACTGCATCCGTCTCCCTCCATTTAGTGTCAGAGCCGTTTCTGCATTAGCCTACGAACCCTTTTTCCTTACCAGACAGTGCATTCCTGGAGGGCAGGGCGGAAGCCACTCAGACTAAGAGTACGGGTCGTTTATGGAGGCCCAGCCATGGAGGCAGGGCTTTCCACCTCACTGCATTTTATCCTCATAAATCCATGGGCCGTCAAGGTGAGGGTCATGGTCTTGCAGATGGAGAAACTAAAAATAACTTGTGTGACTACAGCTCAAAAAGCTGAGTGGTTCTGGTAAGCGGCGGAATCTGAACCCGGTCTTGTTAGATTCAGACGCTCATGTGTGTTTTATTTTGTACTTTAAAAATACATTTTTATTGCTTTCAGAAAAGAAGGGAGAGGGAGAGATAGAACATGGATGACGAGGGAGAATCACTGGCTGGCTGCCTCCTGCATGCCACCTACTGGGGATGGAGCCTTAACGGGGGCATGTGCCCTGACTAGGAATCAAATGGTGACTTTCTGGTTCATGAGTCGATGCTCAACCACTGAGCCACACAGGCTAGGGTAGAGGTTTATGTTTTGAATGGGGTCTTCAACTTCCCTTCTGGGTAGTCCCATCCGCTGTATTTTGAGTACAAAGATGCTCCAGATGTTTAAGCAATGAGAACAGACAGAGGCTAAGCACACAGGAACACATGCCACTGGCCACGTGGACCAAGGAAATGCATGGGCGTGTGGTCAGAGGAGCTTGGCACCTGTCCTGCCCCCCCATCTGCCACCGGAGTCTCAGGCAGGCGTGTCTCTGCTGGGTCTCCCTCCCTCTCACATCACAGTTGCAACATTCACAGCAGCCAGCAGGTGGCCAACCTCAGGCACCAAGATGGTGGCAAAAAACAAATAAACAACAGCCTTTGGACTCACCCGCAGGGTTGTGATGGTGGCAGGATCCCGGAGCCGGCCCTCCTCATCTTTCAGGTTGTAACCCTCTGGCCGCTTGTCGCGCTCGCTGACTTTCCACAGCTTCACAGTTTTATCTGCGGAGGGCAACCAGAGGACATCAGCATTACAGTGCGGGAACGCTGGTAAAGGCGTTTCCCCCCGGGCTGGGCTGGGAGGATAGGGAGAGCCGGACGTGAAAATGGGAGAAACTGCCACAGAAGCCGGCTCGTGTCAAGGGCTTTGGTGTGTAAATCTTGTGTCACTTGAAGGCAGAGCTCATGTTTCAAAACAAAAAAAAAACATATATCATGTAGAGACACATGGTCTTTCTGACAATGGGCTGTTAAGTCTACAGCTCAGACGTTAATTCTGTTCATTCCATAAAAATATTTATTGGACACAGAATAACAAGAATAACTAATATATAAAATTAACATATATAATATGTATGTTATATATTATATGATTATATTAGTTACTCTGAGAATAGCTAATATATAAAATTAACAATGTTAGCACTTTGCCTGGAGAATTTATTGAATGTTCACAAGTACCCTGAGCGGTAGGTATTATTGTTATTCCCATGTTTGCATTGTATTTCACTAAACACTGCCCTTACCATGGCCCAAGAGGCTCTCCCTGGCCTGCACCCCTACTTCCTCATCCTTTCTGATCTCACCCTGCCACATGGCTTCCTCATAGCTCTCGGTCCATGCTAATCCCACTGCTGCCACAGGACATTTGCACAAGCTGTGCCTTCTGCCAGGAGAGCCTTTACCCTCTCCTTCCCGTTGCTCTCTCCCTAGGCCCCAACTTCAGTGGGGCCTTTCCTAACCAGCCTACATAAAAAGGTTTTCCTCACTGCTCTCCAGCCCATCTTCCTCCTCTGTTTCTCCTCCTAGGACACTTCACTGCTGGAAATCATATTGATTATGGCTCCCTCACCAGAATGTACAGTCAGTATAGAGGCAGGGACTGTGCTGCTCATTACTATACCTCCAGCACCGACAGCAGTGCCTGGGACCTGGCAGATGTTCAACAAATACGAGTTGGATGGGTGAATGAATTCCACCGGCACTGTGCATGCTGCTAGCAGCCCAGGGAAATAAAAGTAAGGAGAGTCATCAAAATGCTCCTTTCCCCATGCGGTATCCTTGGAGTCCCCGCCTGGAAACCACCTTCCTCACCTTTGTCCTGTCCCCACACTTTATTTCACTTGCTGACACTTGTCATTTTCTACAGCAATAAATCGTGGTGAGAAGCCCAATGCCTAGAGGGGCGGGGCAGGTCAGGAGATGAGTGACAGGGGCAGGAGAGATGGGGAGGTACAGACCGCATGCCCCACCTGCAGACGTTCAGTTTCATGTTATAACGAAGCATGTTCGGGCCAAACAGATCGTGCCTGTGGGCTGCTGGCCTTTGGGAGGCTTCCTTATCAGATCCTGCATTCATAAACTTGTACTTGTTCTAACTTCTCTTTTGGAAGGCAGGGACTCGGGTGCCTTCTCAAATCTTTCTCTCAGCCTGCACGAGGTAAGTGTGGGACCAGACAGCCTCGGCCCCATCCCCACGCCAACTCCAGCCAGCCATGTGGCCCAGCACTGTGATTCCCACCCAGCAGGCGCCTACCTAGTATTTTTCAAGTGACAGACAAATGGGACTACCAGATTGAGCAGAGAAACAACTACGGAACACACCGGTACACCTAAATTTCAGATAACGTGTAATTTTTCAGTACAAGTATGTCCCGAATATTCTAACCCAGTGGTTGGCAAACTGCAGCTCGAGAGCCACATGCGGCTCTTTGGCCCTTGAGTGTGGCTCTTCCATAAAATACCATGGCCTGTCCGAGTCTATTTTGAAGAAGTGGCATTAGAAGAAGTTTAAGTTTAAAAAATTTGTCTCTCTTGCCAAAATCGGTTTGGCTCAGTGGATAGAGCATCAGCCTGTGGACTGAGGGGTCCCAGGTTCGATTCCGGTCAAGGGCACGTACCTTGGTTGTGGGTACATCCCCAGTAGGGGGTGTGCAAGAGGCAGCTATCGATGAATCTCTCTCATCGATGTTTCTAACTCTCTTTCCTTCTTTCTCTCTGTAAAAAAGCAATAAAATATATTTTAAAAAATTTGGCTCTCAAAAGAAATTTCAATCATTGTACTGTTGATATTTGGCTCTGTTGATCAATGAGTTTGCCGACCACTGTTCTATGAATAAAGAGACTTAGCTTCTCTGAGCTTCAGTTTCTTTATCTGTGAATTAAGGAAAGCCAGGACTTCCTCATGGGGCTCTTATGAGGATTGACTGAAACACTGTGCGTACAGAGTCTATAGCAGCATCGGGCTTCTAATGGTGGTTCACAATGGCAGCTGTTATTAGAATGAGCAGGTTGAGCAACTATTCTGCAATAACAACATGTTGCTCTGACCGCGTTAGCATCCCCCAGGATGATGTCAGCACATCCCACTTCCTCTGTGTGAGACTGTCTGGGGAGAGAAGCAGCCCTCTCCCTGCCTTCACTAGGATTCCCTTTCTCTCTCACCCCCTCCCCACTGCTCCTTCTCCCCTCACCAAAGCCTTGTCCTCGGAGGTCTGAAATGCACCCCCTTGGGAAGTGTGCTTTCTGCAACAATTTGGACAACTGAACAAGTAAGTGACGCTGTTTCCTAAGGTCTGGGGTCACTCGGGTGGGTCATGCTGGCTGCTGGCAGCCTGGCCAGGCCGCTTGTGTGCGATCTGTGCCCTCACCCGGCTCTCCCGGGGCGAAGGCCAGGAAACCTTCCCAGGCCAGCTCTCCTCTAGGCCTGCCCCCTCTGGATATCCTGCCACTGAACTGTGACAAAAAGGAAACATAGGTCATGTTTATACAGTCACTTGATTAGCTACTGATCAGCTGTGCTTTTGAAGAATGCAAATCAGTGACTTTTAACACCAAATATTTTCAATTGCTTGCCATCCCACTTGCAAGTCAATTCTTTCCTCACATTTTTCTTGTGAGTGATAATTGTTATGTAGGGAAATAGAGAAATCATAGGTAAAGCATAAGGAATAAAAATCACCTATAATCAGTCAGGGACAATCATTGTTAACCTTTTGCATAGATCCTTTTAGTTTTTCTATGCATTTTTTTTGGGGGGGTGGGGAGAACTAAAAGCCAATAATATTACACATATATGTTTATTTTCTCAGTTTAAGTCCCTCTTTTCATTATACAAGTGTATAATTATTATTATATAACCAGAGGCCTAGTGCATGAAAATTTATGCACTGGTGGGGCAGGGGGGAGGGGGAGGGAAGGGGAGATGTTCCCTCAGCCTGGCCTGCACCCTCTGGCACTTCGGGACCCTCGGGGGATGTCCACCTACCTGCCAGATTATGCCTGCTCTTCTGGGGATCGGGCCTAAGCTGGCAGTCAGATATCCCTCTGGCAGCCTGGGAGCCCTCGGAGGATGTCTGACTAATGGCTTAGGCCCATTCCTCCCGGGGCGCAGGACTAAGCCTCAGTCAGACATCCTTAGAGCTGCCGAGGATGTCTGCTGTCAGCCCTGTTTGTGGCTAAATGGAGCTCCCCTGTGAGGAGGGGAGGGCAGGGGTGAGGGGCAGCTCCTGTGTTGAGCATCTGCCCCCTGGTGGTCAGTGCATGTCATAGTGACTAGTTTTTCCACCATTAGGGTCAATTTGCATATTACCCTTTTATTATATAGGACTATAGAAAATAAAAATTAGCATAAAAGTAAAAAAATGAAAATCTCCCTCAATTCCACTAGACAGAGCTATCTAGTATGAAAACCTTATATATGTCCTTTCATTTAATTTCTGTGAACACATAACTGTTTTAAATAGATATAACATGTTATACATAGTTTCTGAGTATGTTTTTTCCTAATCATATCTATCTATTCCAACATCTATTCCTATACATATATAATTCCTAATAGTGTGAATTTAATAATTAAAGGCCAAACAATGGGAGATTTACTAGTAAACTATAGAAGAATCATACAGGGGAATGCTATGCAGTCCTTGAAAATGTTATGGAATTTAAGGAGAATATTTAACAGTTAGGAAGATATTCCTGTTATTAAATATTATATAAACAAATCTGGTTGCCAAACATTGTACAGAATATACCACATTTCTGCTAATAAAAAAAAATCAAATTTATCCATGCTCTTTGATGTTTTCTTTAAAAGACACTTACAGTGGTTCTCTCTGGATGGGAACACATTATTTTCATTTTGCTTCTGTTTTCTAATGGCTTTGCAATGAACACCTAATGGATTTGCAATGAACACCTAACTATTTTCGTAGCCTATCTACCAACTAAAATATACTAAGACAGAGACAGAAAACTAGGCAAGGCAATGTGTTTTCACCTTGCAAATAATTTTAAGGCCTAGATTCACAACTGAATGTTGGTTTATTTTTCATGAAAAATTGTAAAGTTATATTCTAACAGAAAGTAAAAACTGTATCCAATGATAATGCGATAAGCACAATTGTGTTTCTTTAAAAGAAGATAACTGATGGTGGATTCAATCCAATTCCCCATGGTTGGGTTGCCTGAAGTCATTCTTGACTTTATTATCACACAGGGTTTCTTGACTCCCTATCTGAAAGCTTTGTGGATGAGGAAGTCTGAGGAACAGGTGGCTGTTCCTATGAGTAATGACGTTTTCTATACTCTGGCTGCCTCTCTGAGTATTTATCATTACTTTTGGCAGCTTTTAAACACAATCTTATCATCTATCTTCATTTTCTCTTTTGTACAGTAATTCCAATTGTCTCCCATTAATTTTCGAATGTTAACCTATTTGGCTTAAGGGGAATTCTCAACCTCAATATTAGTATAAAAAAGAAAATCCCAGGAGAACATGAGAATTTTTCTTATAAGAATCATTTGGAGATACTGTTGGCATATGAAATAGCATCCCAAATGGGAAGATAATATCCCTGTTAATCAAAAAACTATTTAAAAACTCAATTAACAGAACATTATGCTATATAATTAATCTTCATTGCATTTCACTGATTTTTTCCCCATCCTCCCCCCACAAAGGAGTTAATGCATCTTTGAATTTTATTGTAATAATCAATAGGCTAAATTTCATGATATAAAGTAAGCTAGCTGGAGCAGATAATCAGACACTTTCCCTGCCCAAAGTAATTAAGTCAGAATCATCAGAAGTCTTTTTTTAAATCTAAATAGTGTTGAATGTGCAAAGTCTTTGAGTGAAATTTCAATAGTAAGAGGGAAGACATTGAAAAAAATTCATATGGTTTGGCTTACAAGAAACATAGTCGACAAAATAAATAGAACAATAAATACAGTTATGAGGAAGAATTAAATTACTTGGAATCTGGAAAAACAGACGACTGGAAATCTGGACATGTTGAGATAAGCCATGCGTGAATAACTAACTCCAAACTGGCTGTTTCAGAATTGCCATATTTTTTTTTTTTTTAGCATTGTACACTGGCTTTATATTTGAGGGATTTGGGGTTCATACGCAATAAGAAAACCCCTCCTTCCTTTTAAAATAAAATATAAAACTTATCATCAAAACTTAGAAAATAAAAATGATAAAAAGAACAAATTTATAAGAAAACTCATAATACATAATAAAAAATTAATCATGATAAGCCTATAGGTGTGTTTCCTTTTAGTTTCTAAAAATGTTAATATACGTCTGATTAGCATTTACATTTTTTCACTTGACATGTGAGCACTTGGGGATGGGCAAGAAGCAAGTCCCTTGCTTTCTGATCTATATTTAAATGTACTAGTGCCTCCTTACAGACTCTTACACAATGAATCACGCTCCAGCTTATTTGCTTGGGAGGTGGTGTTTAATTTTTATCCACTAACCCTCTTAATTGTTATGCCATCCAATTAGCACCCTTTAGTATTATATATGCTTTTATTCTAAATTGTTTCGAGCATAGGTGGGCTTCTGTCAGCAATGGCATTGAGAAAAGCAAGGGAAGGTAATTCCACCGAATTAACATGGGATTTGGCTCACTATTCAACCCCCAACCTCCTCTCTCTTGGACCTGTTTATAGCAACTCTCCCGAAATCAACAATTGCTCTTAGAAGAGTGTGGAGGGAGAAAGAGAAAGAAACCACTTATTCATCATCCTTTCGTCGGATGCCTCTCTCTCCTGGACCTGTGCTCAGAGAACTCGATTGTGTCAGAGAGAGAAAACCCCCGAAACACATCCAGGGAATAATAACTTCTACTCAGCATGTCAGACTCACAGGATGGCCTGTCGGGGTTCCTGAAATGCATTCCCAGAATAACATGCAATGAATCTTAAAACAGGAAGTCACATTCCAGAAGCACCTGGAAATAATCTGCATCAGTCAGAAACTGCAGATACTGGGGCTCACATAATTGGGTCAGAAATGTGTGATATTTAAGAAGAATCACTACCATTTACTGAGGGCCCACTCTGCGCCAGGCACTAAGGTAAGCATCCTGCAAAGATGGCTGCTCAGGTTTTTTTGGGGGACAGCCCACAAGATTAAGAAGGAAAATGGAGTCTAAGAGAGATTGAAACGTATGACGTGGCTGATTCTACCTCTGACAATACCAAGTAGGAGAAGACACTTGTACATACCGTTAGTAGACAGAAGGAAGTAGGCTGCATTCTGCTGGGGGAGCCATCTTATTTTATTGATTTTTTCTTCTATCTCTAAACTCTTCAGGTAATCGAACTCGGGCTCATGGCTCTGGAACGTGCTGTAAACATTGTATTCACCCCTGCGATGAACCTGATTTTTACTCTGTAGGAAAGAGCGGGAGGAGAATACACCAAAGATTAAAAACACATAGGCCATCTGCGAATTCACCAATTTCTTATTTTTTTTTTGAGCAAAATCATTAGGGATGGGTAGGCCGGCCATTGGCATGAAATGAGAGTTTTACCCTAGCTTAGAGGCCTCCAAAGCATTGATCTTGCAACTCTGTTGGTACCTCCAATATCCATATATGGATATTAGTACCTCCAATATCCATATATGCATAAATGATATACATAAAACTCTATATGGTATACATTGTAACATATACATAGAAATAGAAGTTAAACTAGGACATGATTTTAAAATCAATATACATTTAAAAATCAATATAAATAGAAGTTCTAATATTTTCAATCTGCATCAGTGGATGTCTTGAACACCCTTTGGCATAAGCCATCCCATGCTGATGTCCATATATACGTCTATCAATCCCTTACACAAAGAGTCCAAAGCTATAGCATCTGTACCTTTCATTGGCCTTTTAAAATCTCCTCTGATTCTCAGAGAATCTTGGAGATGTGGGCAGGGCAAGGAAATGGACAAAGGAGGCTCAGAGACATCCTCCAAGGTCACAGGACTTCTAAGTAGCAGATTTGGGCATCAGGTCCCCCTCCCCCCCCCTTTTTTTTTTCTAACACAGAAAACAAAATAGACAGGAGCACAGGGATGCCACCTGCATCACTGAGAGGTGATGAGACGTCACCCCTGGCTTCCTCCTAGCTCTGATTCTGCAACAGGCAAACAGCAGGAGCTAAATAAATGGCGAGAGAATGAAACACCAGGGAAAGGGTATGCAGAAAGGGGCAACAGAATAACGAAGGGTGGAGAGAAGGAAAAAGAGGGCGTGAAACAAAGGAAGAGCAGAAAGGAAGAGAGGGAGGGGCGGTTTCATTTCACGCATTTTTAGAATGTGTCTACCAAGGGTTTGAGGAGTCAGGCTTTGGAAAACTGTGTTCAAAAATTCCACTCCAGGTCTTTATAGACATTTGTCACAAAAGCTTGACTCTTAATACAGTCTCAATTTAAAAAACACACAATAACTAGATTTCTGGATAGATACTGAATATCCAAACCACAATCTCCTCTGGTGCTGACACCAGGTGTTCCATGTCTTTGGAGGGCACTGAGGTCCCTTCCTACAGCAAGCCCTCCAGGATTGCGCCTCTTGAGAAGTCACTCATAGACACAGATAGCACACCTGACCCTTGGTGTTGTCCCATGGCTTTGTTTTCGAGGCTGAGTGCCCATTTCAACCCCATGCCTTGCCACAAAGCTCAACACTTACCTGCCTGTTATTATACCACACACATTTTTTTTTAATTGAACCAAATCACTCTTCTTTGGAAAAAACGTGTCCCCCTTCATTCTACTAATGAAATTGGGCTTCCCACATATTTCAGTAAATTAAAAAAGGGGAAACCTATAAATAGCAAAGGGAAAAGGTGGCTCGGAAATATTACTGGCAACACACTGCCCTGGATGATTTATGCTAAATAGCTCCTCCGGTTCCTCTTTATCATCCCCAGGAACCTAATGGGATTTTTTTTTTTTAATTGAAGAAGTTTGAAAATCAGCTTGAAGGTTACTCGCCACACGGACAGACATCCTTGTGACAAGCCTGCCTGCTGCCGAGGAGCCAGTCCGCCTTTAACAATACATGTAGCCGAGTGTTGATTTGGTAGCATCCAAATCAGACTGGCAAGCGCTTGCCGTAGGTGCCAGACCAATTAGCACTCAGCAGCTCTGGAAAAGCAGGAAACATTCCAGGTCACGAAGAGCTATTAGTTCCTACTTGCCAAGCACACTTCCCTGTTTCCAGGACCAGTGGCACAGGCGGGGTGCCTGACTGAACTCGGGCCGCTTGCATCTCTATGGAAACCCCGAGGGATGAGGATGCCCATATAGAAATTAATTGCAAATAATGTGCAATTACCAAATACATCACCTCTAAATGAGGCTTCCCCTTATTTTGAGGGGAGGTGGGACACACATGGCTTTGAGGCACAGAGCAGGCTTTCCATGGCCAGGGAAGTCTCCGGTGAACCCTCCCTCCTGCACTTGGCCCCCCCATGCTGCGTTGGGCGAGTCCCGGAGGCAGACGGCAGCAGATGGGAGAGCTGCTAGCATGCAGGCTGGCCTGCTGGAGGCCCCAGCCCCATGCCTGGGGGAGCCAAGGAAACCACATCGGGCCCTGCTTCCATTCTGACAGCACAGAAGCAGACACCCCGAAACTCAATTTATATGAAAAAGAGAAACAATTCCTGGTGGAACCCAGGGGAAAAAAAAAAAGATGGGCTTTTTGAGATTCAGTGGAAATGAAAACGCCGGCTCGGAAAGCACACAGCACTCAGCTCCGGGGACCCCTGTGTCACCGACAGGAAGATGTGTGCCATGCGCTTCGCTCAGATGTCATTTTGGGGGACTGCACTCCCTTTGGTGGGTGAGCTATCGCTTTCTTCTCTGCTGACCCAAGCTGTCCCTTTCACATCTGTGGACAAAGAACCGTTCCCCCGCACCCCTCCTGCACATTCTGTAAGGGCACCTCCATTTGAATCACTCGAGGATGAATTTCACACCCAAAGGCTGAGCTATGCTCAGAGAGCACCCGTGGCATTTTGCAGGTCAGATGAGACATGAGAACATGAAAAGGTAAGGCCATGCCTGGGAAATGGCTCTATTTTCAGGTACTTTTATGAGCCGGAAGGTGGAACTGTTGATGTGAATGACTTTCTGGCTGTTTTTTGCAGCCAGGTGAAGGGGCACATGGAGGATTAAGGAATGGCAGGAGGCCGCCTCTAAAAAAAAAGGGGGGGGGAAGGAGAGGGGCATTTCGCATTCACTGGCCACTTACCTCCTGCTCTCGTTGAAATATGACAACCCGACCCCCCTTGTCCCCTGTCGCTAGTAATTCTCCCGTGTGGTTGAATTCTACCGTAGAGATAATGTCAGCTGCAAAAAAGAAGACAAAGGCAATTTAAGTCACTGCGCACGTGCTTTGAAACGACAGATAATAGACATACTTTTCTGTGCATTGAAGGGCTCGGGGCTTTGTCTTGGTGGCGGAATTTACGAAGTTTTATGTTCTGTATTTTAGGTGCCGGGAGAAGTGGCTCTGGGGAAAGTAAGTTTCCCCGATGCCTGCACTGGTCTCCTGCAGCATCTAGCGAGAGCAAAAGCACGTTCAGACCCTCTTAAGTTGGGCAAGAGAAAGTGAGTTTCTCTAAGGCCTGTGGGAATGGCATCTTCTTTGATAGTTTCTACCAGCCATGCAGCCTGCACCCACTTCCGGCCTCTTTGCATTTCACTTTCTTTCCCAAACAGGCTTCCGTGGTGGCTAAGCCAACGAGGCCTGGGGATGCCTGACGTGAAAACGCACTGACAACCTCTGCAAGGTGAAAACTCAAGGAAGGACCCCACAAATGCCCCAGCTTGACCCCACGGTACGTCTGTTTTCTTGGTGAGCCCAACACTCCTTTCTGGAAGAGCACGCCTTCTCCCAGCCCCAGGAGACGGGTGCTGGGGAAACGGTCACGAGTCAGAGGGGAGAGGGCAATGTGTCCTGTTTCCCCAACAGAGAAAATACACAGAAACCAGGAACTCAGATCACAAATAACTGCTGAGCGAATGCCAGCCTGCCAAGTCTTGCTTCAACTCCGGTTGCCCCCAGAGGAGTACGGACAGGTAAATTACCTATGATTGGATTTATTAGGGCTATTTTTAGAAAAATGTCAGAGGTTAATTCTTGTGAAATTATTCCCTTGCAGGGCTTCAACAATTGCTCCTGAAAGTTCAAGTAAGTTCTAAAAAGGGGAGGAGAAGGGGAATTATGACTATGGCTTTTGACAGAGGAACATTCTGAAGATTATGTCCATGTGAGAAAAGCAGAGGGGAAACAGTGAGCTGGAAAACGAGGGCAATTGCCCCTGAATAATTCACATCTCAGCTCTTCCTTTAATATCATCGTTTCAGGGTTTTCTTGGTATGCCTGATTTGTTCAGGTAAGTAGTGTACAATTCTCCACTTTGCATATAACTGTCCTGTTCCATGTACGGCAATGCTCTTAATGGTCATTCTTTGAGCAGAAGGAAAAAGAATAAGGCACTGACCATAGTCACTTTCAAGCTAGGCACATTTAAAAGAGCAATTCATGATTGCTTTTAAAAAAAAAAATCCTCACCCAGGGATATGTTTTTTTTATTGGTTGTAGAGAAAGAGGAGGGGAGAGAGAAACATTGATGGGTTGCTTCCTGTACATGACCTGACCTGGGACTACATCTGCAACCTTTTGGTGTATGGGACACTCCAACTAACGGAACTGCCTGGCCAAGGCCAATTCATGATTTCTTGTTTGGGCCTCTTAGGTGACTGACCCCAGGACAGCAAATTCAAAGCTCCACAGGAGCACTAGGTGGAAACAGAGGGAAGAAAACCAGAGGAGGTAGAAAGCTTGTGTCCTCTCTAAGGGGACAAGGGCTGCTCCGCTTAAGGCAATCGTGGCTATGAACTATTGCGAGCATTGACAGATATTCTGAAATATCTGTTGGAAATCAAAATTTTTATGCAAAATCTCTTAAATTTTATACGTGGGCAACTAATTTTTTTTCCCCCAACACCAGGACATTAAAAGTACATCATCTTGTCTGTGGGCTGAATACGGTGTGTGAGTCACCAGCTTGTGACGCCTGGCCTATAGTCTTCCTTCAGAAAAGACCGCCCCATTCCTTACTGATGGTCTCAACCAGAAACCTAGTCCGTTCCCTCAGGAAGAGCCCTCCAGATGAATGCTACCTCAGGGAAACATGAAATACGGGAGTGCTTATCCAGTTTCTAATGCTTATCCCGTTCCTAATGCAAGCTTAGAAGGCTCATTCCTCTAACAAGTGCCCTCTGAGGAGGAAGAAAGCCCAGCAGGGCTGGGGAACCAACCACCTCAAGTGGATTATTTGCCCACGTTTCTTTGTCACTGCTGGTGCAACTTAGCAAAGCACGCTCATGTACATGCTTAGTGTTTGCACTGCCTCTGACACACTGCTTAGGTACTGCTACTGGCTTTTCAGTGCCTGGTTAGCAGTGGGGTTATTCACAGAGACTCTGGACTTGGATGGAACCTAATGAAGATGAAGCCATTTCTTTTTTCTTTCAGGCTTCTGTGGGGTACTAAGGAGTGAGCCAGAGCCCTCAAACTGCTGAAGAACAAATGCCTTCCAGAGAAAGGGGTAGTGGGGAATAAGGAGAAGGTGTGGGGCGGGGGGAAGGGAAGGGGAGACACTAGGCCTGGGGGTTAACAGCGCCCTACTCCTGTCATTAGGAATAAGATGCTGCTTAAGGTCAGTTCCGGTCCTTCCTCTCCCAGCAATGCTAACACAGAGTTCTGGGTGGGGGTCAGGGTCCATGCATTGAGGACTAAAGGGTGGGCTTTTCCCTTTGGAAAGTTAGGTGTCAGAGAGTCAAGCAGCTTTTCCCAAGGTCAACCCTTGGCTCCGTTTCCAATAAAATGCCACTCCAAGGGAAACAAAACTCTCCTTCTCGGTTGCCGGACACACCGCCTTTTTGCCCAGGCTCTCTGTGAAAATGTCCTTCTCCCTCTCAGATCCACACAGGCCAAAACAAGGCAGGATATATATTTTCTTAATAATTCTTAGGCATGAATCTGTTCGTTTATTTAAACTACTCATCACTGCACAAGATGCATAGAGCATTCTTCCAGGCTCCATGGAGGATACACGCTTCAAGGTCCCTGCCCTTCAAGTCACTTCAGCTAAAAACACTCCACCCCACTCCATTGAGTTTCTATCACCATCTTCAAAAATAATCGTCTGCTCTCCAGCACTTAAGCTTCTACAAATAAATTCTGCCTGATGCATCTATTTTTACTCACTATTCTCTCAGCCTTTAGGAAAAAAAAAAAAAAAAAGCATTGTTTTTGTATTTGCTAAAATGTTCTTTCACATGTGCATGCTATCCATATCATTTACAAATTGTTAGGAAAGTCCTAGCTGGTTTGGCTTAGTGGATAGAGTGTCCGCCTGTGGACTGGAGAGTCCCAGGTTCAATTCCAGTCAAGGGCACATGCCCAAATTGCTGGCTCGATCCCATCCCTGTGGGGCATACAGGTGGCAGCCAATCAATGATCCTCTCTCATCATTGATGTTTCTATTTCTCACTCCCTGTCCCTTCCTCTCTGAAAAAAATCAATAAAAATAGATTTTTAAAAAATTGTTAGGAAAGACCACTGGGTTCCAACTACCATGATACTGACAGCCCCTACCATGAGAGTAATACCTTTGGTTAAGGCATTGCCCCAATTCTTAAAGGCAATTATTACTTTTTAAAAAATACGTATTTTTATTGATTTCTGAGAGGAAAGAGAGACAGAAACCTTCATGATCAGAGAGAATCATTGATTGGCTGCCTCCTGCATGACCCCCACTGGGGATTGAGATAAAAACCCGGGCATGTGCCTGATCCAGAATGGAACCATGACCACCTAGTACGTACTCAACCACTGAACCACACTGGCCAGCTGGATGCTATAGCACATTTTAAACCATGAGGAATCATAGACATGCACATAGACTACTTTTCACATACAAAAATGTGAATCATGGAAGGAGAAAGATAAAAGGAGCAATGCCTATTAGAGAGCATGTGTCCAGGCAACATGGTACAATGGAGTCTGTGACCCAATCAGAACACAACACAGAGGCAGATGTGGAAATTTGGAATAGCCAGGCACAGGGGAAACACACACACACACACACACACACACACACACACACACACACACAGATTCAGGCTCAAGTCTAAGCCACGTGATCCAAGACAGTATTTATGGGACATCGGCAGGCATGGTTCCAGCTATAAAAATGTCTCCCTTTTCCCCCAGTGTTATCATTATTTGTGTTATGCTGCCCTCAAGAATCTTTTAAGGGAAAGGGTGATTGGTACAGCAGGATTCTGAAATTCCTTAGTCCTGACCTTTGTTTTAATCCCGCCAGTGTGTTGGTCTATATAGTAGGTTGTTTATATTTAGCAACTGTCTACCTCATTTCAGAGCCTTTGCCATTGCAGCTTGAATTGATGCCTGTTTTGAACTTCTGGTTTCCTGACTCATTTATCACTGCTAAGCCAGTAGGTGTAACCAGAACATGTTACTGCCCCATCCATCGCTGTGTATCTTCATCTATGACTGTTTAATATTAATAATTGATGCAAAACTCATGAATCATCCACATTACAGTTTCAAGATACTGGAACTTCTGATACAAATTCTCTTGCGTTTGCATCATCCTCTTTGGTGGAGCAGTTAAAATTGGAAAACTTGGGCTGCTCAACGCAAAATAATTTTATAGAGATAGGATATGGAGAGAAGAACAAACTAGTGGACTTACACTTCATCTGAAATCATGCTCAACAGAAATCAACTCATCAAGTTCAACATGATTTTGGTTTTTAAATGACCAGTTCATATGACAATTTTATTCAATGCCCAGTCTTTCACACTGTTGAGCAAAAAAAACCAACAACCTATAAACAAAACATTTTTCATCTGTTCTGTAAACATGTAGATCAAGTGCACATTTTTTACTAAAAACAGAGAACAGAATTCAAAAGCAGTCACAGAGGTCAAGTGCAGCAGTGATTTTTAAAGGAAGTATGATGTTTGCCCTGTTCTACATCTATTTGTGTTGACTTAATTTCCACAAGATGGTGGCCTGGTAACCCCATTTCATGTTCAATGAGCACCACTAAGAACAACTTTTTCTTAAAAAAAAAAAAAAAATTCTCAGCATCCCACAAAGGTCCAAGATTGGTAATTCCATACATATAGTCTCCATGTACCTGAATAATAGAAAATGACTTGGCAATTACTAGTATATTGATGTGATGGGGAGACAGGGGGAGGAGAGATCCCCTAGTCTATGGCCTAATTGCCCATAGTACTGTGC